CGATTGATGTTTGACAAGGGGAAAGAATCTTTTGGACATGCTTTGTTCAAGTCCTTATAATCTACACACATTCTAAGTTTGTTTCCTTTTTAGGAACTATAACTACGTTTGCTAGCCACTCGGGGTACTTTATCTCCCAAATAGATCCTATTTTAATAAGTTTGGTTACCTCGTTTTTTATGAAACCATGATTTACCTTGGACTGAGGCCTCTTTTTTTGTTTTATCGGTTTGAACCTAGAATCGATGCTTAGCCGATGTGTGGTGATTTTCGGTGGAATCCCTGTCATATCTAAATGGGACCAAGCAAAGCAATCCATATTATTGAATCCATATCTAAGTTCGGTTTTCTTTGAGAAGGATCGGTCAGTATAGGCCTAGGCCATTTGGTGTCTTTGATTCTCCTAATAGTGGAGCCAATCCCCGACACATTTATGCTGAAGTTATACTCTGATAATTGAAGGGCTTTGCCAGGGTCGTTATGCTTATCGAACTCGCTCTTACTCATGAGTCCCCGAGAACTTTAGCCTCGATCGTTTCTCTGATCGTTTCGAGGAGTGTTATGACTTGAGTCATTGCTTTTCCGATCGACGTATGCCTGATACTTTTCCTTGTTTGATCTCGATTCCCGATTTGTGTCCCTCGGGGGCTTAGCTGCGAATCTATTAGGATGAACTGAACCCGAGGGGGCTCCCAACTGGTCGTCCTCGACTCTGATTTTTGATTGGTAATAATTGTGCATATCCGACCAGGTCACAGCTGAATACTCGATCAAGTTCTGTTTTAATTGTCATAATCGAGCTCCTTTCATTCAAAGCCTGCATAAAAGCTTGTACTGCCCAATCATCCGAGACCGGTGGTAGCTCCACTCACTCCATCTGGAACCTAGACACGAATTTCATCAACATCTCATCGTTCCTCTGTTTTATCTTGAAGACATCCGATTTTCTTGTGGCCACCTTTATGGCCTCGGCGTGTGCTTTCACAAAGGCGTCTGCTAACATAGCAAATGAATCAATAGAGTTAGGAGCTAAGTTGTGATACCAAATCATAGCTCCTTTAGATAGTGTTTTCCCAAACCTTTTCAACAAAACTGACTCGATTTCATCGTCATTCAAGTCATTTCCTTTGATCCCACAAGTGTATGCTCGTTAGGGTCGGTTGTCCCGTTATATTTGGGTATATCGGGCATGCAAAACTTCTTGAGAATAGTCATCGGAGTTGCACTTGGGGGAAATGGTTTTTGTATGAACTTTTTGGCATCTAAACCTTTCAAGACCGGAGGTGCCCCCGGTATTTGATCAACACGGGAGTTGTAAGTCTCCACCTTCTTGTCATTTTCTTCAATCTTCTTTTCTCTGGACTCGATCCTCTTGGTGAGTTCTTCGAGCATCCTCATAATAGTGGGGTCAGTCCCCGAGTCACTTCCGTTTGACCTCTCTGGTGCTGGTTCAGCATGTCGAATATTTTCATGTTCAGCTACGCTCGGAGTCTTATTCTGACTTTGAAGTTGAGCGATGGCGATGTGCTGAGCTTGTAGCATCTCGAATATCACTTGGAGGTTGATTCCTCCATCTCCCATTCCTTGCTTTCTTTGGCCACCAGAGCGGGTTTCCCTGCGTACATTCTCTTCGGGGTCTGTGCCTCAATCCGTGTTTAGAGCAATGTGTGAACTAACATCAACTGGTTCCATATTTTGTACTTTCCCTGGGTTTATCGGTGGTATACCGACCCCTGCATTGCTGTTTTTTCCAAGACCTTTGTTGTCATGAACATGTGTGTTTTGTGTGCTAGACATGTTTTAACCTGAGAATCAAAAAAACATGACAAGAAAAAGTGTAAAAACAACGTGTGTAATGAGAATCAGTAAAGAAATAATTACTATTATTTTTAGCCACACGGTGGGCGCCAAACTGTTTACCTTGAAAATATGAGTAACAATTAGATTTGATTAGTAGTTTTAAAGATATGTGATTTAGTTCAATACCAATTAATAATCAAGAGATATGAAGTAGAAATGAAAGAAATAAGTGAATCAAACCAGTGTTACTCAACAGTAGTGACCTCGAGCTTATTAACCTCGAGGTGGGTTTAGTACCATAAGAACAATTAGGCCAGAAAAGCTAAGTAAGGACAGTAGAGCTAAGGACAATTCTGATGAACAATAGGCAGAAAAGTAGAGAGTATAGTCTTTGTTCAGTAATTAAATGATGTTACAAATGATTGGGGTCTCCTTTATATAATAGGGGAACTCAAAATAAGGTATATTTCTATTTACAGTAAGTAATATTCTAGGTACAGCTGTCTAACCGCCTACGGAATAGTACAATCCTATTCCGGGATTTGCGCCATGATCTTGGGGACGTGGCAGAAATCTAGCTCATTCTGTTACAAATCCATAACGGTACTATTTCAGGATCGAGCATACTTGGCTTTAGTGTTCCTCGTACTCCTATTTCCGGGCTTTGCACTCTGTCCTCGGGCTCGAGTCTAGTCCATCGGGCTCGAACTCGACTTCGCTCGAATTTGGGCTTCGGATGGACCCTCAAGCCTATAAATCGGAGGCATATGATTTTGACCGTATACCATGTCTTAGTTCCTCTAGCATTGTTTGTTAAAAGTGAACTCATGTTGTTGGATTGTTGTCGCATATGTGGAACAGCTGTCTAACATTGAACTGCTATTTTACGTATTCAAGAAGAAGGCCCCTACAGCAATCAAAGAGATAAAGAAGGCACGAAGGTCGTTAGGACGGGTTAGAGTTGGTATTGCTCGAGAGAGGAATGAGATGAAGGATGCAAAGGAAGAGCATCCTTAAATTGCTCTTGATCCCACCTGAGGGATTGAAGGGTGATCTTGGTACAAAGATTATCGAGGATGAAGGCTAAACCATCATCATTAGTGAAAATGATATTGATAAATGAAGTTCCACTCATAGTTTTTAGTGATACGAGACTGGTCAGTTTTGTCAGGGCACTTTGTATTTGTTTTGTCGAGCATATTTGTCACTATGCGTTTTAAGCCATCACTTGGTCATGTTTTCTGTTTTCCATTTTGCATTGTTCACTTGTCAGTTTAGTCATTGCGCTAATCCAACTTGTTCATTTGCCATGTTGCATCTCATCCCTCATTGCTTCACAAGTTGTTTGACAATATAAAGATCTTTTACATATTTTATTATTTTAAAATAGGAATAAATTCAGAGTCTTTCCCTTAGATTTCGTCCCGTAACACTAATCTCCTTTGTGGTTTTTGATATTATATTTACCTCCCTTATTTTAATTTTTTTAACAATTCTTTTTACATATTTAATATATAAAAAATTATAGTATGACTAATTTTTCCTTTTAAAGTATTCTCTTCTCTTTAATTAATTTTGCAAACACTCTTTTAAAATTTGTTTAGAATAAAAGTGAAACAAGAAGCCGTCTCTTCCCCTCCCAGGTGTTTCATGGTTGCCTGTAAAGTAAAAACGCCATGGATATTCTTCCTCTCCCCGGCCTTTGGCAGGAGAGAAACCACTCTCTTTTGCTTACTTGTTCAAGAACCTTGAAAATTAAATACAAGACACAAAAGAGTTGCTCAGTTTGAGTCAAGATGACAATAAATCTGTTCACTCTCAACGAATTTGGTTGCAATCCAAAGATGTGAATATATGAAAAGTTTGGCCCAAAATTGAATACGATCTTCTGATAACTGCCTTTGGGCCCAATTAATACATCTTGCCAGGAAGTACCAAGCCAAGTAAAAATTACACGGGCGCCCTATTTGGTCGCCCCCATTTAACCTATACCCATTTTTTTAAAACTTTTAACTTGTACCCATTTCTTAAATAACTTCAGCCCTTTTTCTCCTCCTTCTTCTCCTCCTTCGTTTTTTTCTTCTTCTGAAAGAAATAGCTGAAATATGCAAACAAGCAATTGACTGAGTTGTCAAGCAAGAGGACGACCATCCCGTATGTCATATTTGATTTTCCTTTGCCTTTTTAAATATTAATTCTTCTACTGTGTTCCTATAAATCTGTGTCTTCACTTGATAGAGAAGAGTATAAAAACAAGAAGAAGTCAAGCTTTAAATAATTAAAAAAAAAAGATTGATTAGCTGTTTCATTCCGCAGACAAGGCTCTTCTGGACTTATATGGGGCGACAAATTCTTATCAGGTGAATTGAATCAGCATATTAACCATAAATACGAAATTACTAAATGTAACAAAGCTTCTCATTCCATGGGAGAAGGAGGACAACCCAAAGAGGAGAATATGCTGGTGAAGGCTTCATCAATTGGATCAATGGAGAGGAGCAAATCCAACGGCTTCATATAAGAGTTAATTTTATCCAAGCTTCAGCTCTAGAGCTGAAGTTTCCCAGTTACAACACAAAAACTTCAGCTCTAGAGCTGAAGTTTCCCACTTACAACACAAAAACTTCAGCTCTAGAGCTGAAGTTCGCCAGTTACAAAACAAAAACTTCAGCTCTAGAGCTGAACTTCAGGCCCGGCTACTAGAATGCTGAAGTTTGCGTGATTGCCTTTGCTACTTCAGCTCCGTGTGCTGAAGTTATGCGAAAAAGCGGGTGCGCTTGTAATTTTTTCTGTAAAATGGGCACAAGTTAAAATATGACACAAAAAGCGGGTATATGCAAATGCCCCCAAGCCAATTGGTACAAAATGCAAATTTGGAGAATAATACAACTCCTAATGCTACTAGGAACTTAGCAGGAGAAAACACGAGGAGCATTTCTACTCCTTATAGGAATTCAACTTTGACGAACTAAGCTTAAGGAGTCGTGCTCAGTCTGTTGCTAATGGAATTGAATTGACTAGAAGAGGTCTGCAGAATTACGTAGGATTTTTATTGTTAAAGCATATCTCAAAAAAGATATTCTTAATGTTATTAGTTAGAAGAGTAGAATATTAGTCTAGATTAAAAGGATTGTTACAAGAAAATTCAAACTAAGTGAGGTATTCGTGGTATTTATTGTAAACCACAAAAGAAGTCGGTATTACGAATTGAAAGGAGGGGTATCTAAAATTATCCGTTAAAAATAGCTGGTTAGTTGATTACATGCAATCATTCGATACAACTTAAAGGTAGTTACAAGAAACAAGCAACATCTCAGGGTTGCCTCCACACAATGAGTGTAAACCAAAACAAACAAAAAGGGAAAAAAGATTAAGAAAAAAAAAGTGCGGATGCTCAGAAATTTGTTTCGTCTCCCAGAAAGCAGATTGCAAGAGAATTGACAAGTAAACACAAGAGGAATCCAATTCTCACAACGTTATCATCTTCCAGATGCTGTTACTAGCGTCAAAGGCAGTCAGCTTCGATGGATCCAATTCAAAATATTCAAGCACCTTGTTATCTCTTTCCACAATATCTAGGATGGGTCAAGGTGAACGGAATTTCTGCTGCATGACATAAAATCTCGAGAAATAAGAAATGTTAGCTTAGCAAGCAAAGTAGGATACGGCCTGATATTTTTGATTGATCATACAAGTCTGGAATGATACATGTAACAGAGGCATACAATGATAACTTCATCCTACAAGATACGAGGAAAAAAGTTACTGATCATACAAGTCTGGAATGATACATGTAACAGAGGCATACAATGATAACTTCATCCTACAAGATACGAGGAAAAAAGTTACTGATCATACAAGTCTGGAATGATACATGTAACAGAGGCATACAATGATAACTTCATCCTACAAGATACGAGGAAAAAAGTTACTGTTACCATAAATCAACAGATGCATAATTAAAGACAAAGGAGAAACAGTATTAGATAATAGCAGCTAGATAGAGACAAGGAAGATCATGACTATGCTCTTTTTAACAACAAATTACCAAACATCAATCAGTTGAGAGTACTACTTTAATAAAATTAATTTAAAGAAACAAAAGAGAAGAAAAAACGAAATGGACTCCATTTATACAAACACATATATCCTTGCAACAGGATGGGTATTGTACAAGAGGCTGTGTGTCTATGAAGTGTAAACCACAGATGGAAAAATTAATGCAAGTCTAATAAGATCAATCCGCAGATGATTTCCTAACGTTGAGCTGCAGCAGAGGCCGATTCTATTGAGAAAAAACAGATTTTGATAAAGTGGCGATGAAGTGCATTTACCTGCAACTTTCCAATCTTAATGCTTCTAGGAGTAGATAGGTTCCTATTCGATCATTCACTAATTAGCGTTATGTTTCTAGGGATTTTGGTTTCTAGAAATTTTGGGTAGAATGGAAGAAGTTTGGCAGAGAAGGGGAAGAAGACAGGCATCTCAATGTTGAAGATGTGTAAAACGAAATTCCCATTATTATTAACTTTCTTTTAGCCTTTTCCGTTAGTTTCACAAACCCAGTTAAAGGTAAGACGAAAGCTGCACGCTTAGGCAAACATAAGGGATATTTTATAGGGAGAAGGACTTTAATACCTCATTGCTAGGACTTTATGACAACCTCTGCCACTAAAACCTAAAATGACCATCGGTGCCCCCAAATTTCTTCTTTCATATACCCAGATCCCTTCCCTCCACGACTAAGTTTTCTCCTCCACTTCTTCTCAGTTGTGCAAAATTTCCTCTACTGCGACAGCCACCCCTTTATTCCCCCTCTACTTTCATATCATTCAGCTATAACTAAAGTAGTCACTCCTTCGGAGACCAAGGTTGAATCTTTATATAAAATTTCTCTTCTGCGTATAAGAGAAAAAGCCTTCTTCATCTTTTTCCTTTCATACCATTCATCTATAAAGTTCACTCTTTTATTCCAAGGTTTTTATAGAAAATAATCTTCTTGTTATAAGAGAAAAAGCCTTCTCCATCTACTCCTTTCATACCAATCATCTATAAATTTTACACTTTTAATTCAAGATTGAATTTTTATTAAAAAACATCATTTGGGGTGTCGAAAAAGGGGACAAATTGGAAAACAGCCAATCATCTTTGTACCAATTTCGTATACCCAGATCCCTTCCCCTTCAAATTCAACCCCTGCTGGGACTTCATGACTGAGCTTTTGTGGCTTATCTTGCCCAGTCCAGAGCTACAGAAATTATTAATAACAAATATTTGCAGTTCCTAGGAAATTCCTTGGTTGACATGTGCTGCCTAGATGTTCAAACACTGGCAAAAGTCACTGTATCTGTTCGTCAACTTTCCAAGATATTGCAGTGTGGTTTGCATACTAAGAAAAAGGCAAGTTAAATTGTGCCATGGCTTTTATTAACTAAGTAGGAAAAGTCTAGCTTCAGTAGTAGCTAGGATTTGGTAGAAGTAGCTTCTTGATGATTTTTTATCATCTTATGGTGCAGGAAGCTCTTAAAAGGATCTGCAATTGGGTATGCAAATTGTATTAATCTTTGGGTTGGTTTTATAGCAGCCAATATAGGGGATTATGATCTTCAACCTTATTCTTCACTACGGTTCACCTTACCAAATTGAAAATTGGCAACTCAGTTTTCTTTATGTATTTATGTCACCATTTTAAATTGCAAATGAACGTATTGCAGTTGCCAAAGAATTGCTTAAAGTCTCAAACGTCCCAAGATGAATGTATTACATCTGCAATTGAACAACTGTCATCACACTTTTTATAATGGAGCTACCACATTTCTTTCCCTAAGTTAGCAATGAATATTATATACTGTAATTAGTAGTATGTTAAATGATATTACAAAATTCTTAGTATACTGTATAGTATACCACGATTACTGATGAATCATGGCATATTATCACTACTAGTATGTTAATTGGTATTCATAATATTTCTTACTATACTGTAAAGTATAGCGTGATCACTAAATCATGGTATACATTGAATACTGCTGTTAAATGGTATTCACAATATTTTGAATATACTATGTATTATATCATGATTACTCTTGAATTATGATACACTTTTTTTATGCTAAATATTCTCATTATTCTTGGTATACTATGTATTATACCACGATTACTGTTGAATCATGGTATACTGTATGGTATACCAACAGTTGAATTATGTTAATACTTTGTTTATCTTAAATGTTATTTCCCATATTCTTGGTATACCATGATTAATGTATCATGGTACTTTGTTTGAGTTTGCCAAATGGTATACCCACTATTCTTGGTATACTATACGATGGTTTACCATGATTAATCTTGAACCATGGTATACTTTGTTTGAGCATGTCAAATGGTATACCCAATATTCTTGGTATACTACACATTAATATGCCATGATATTACTGGTATGTTAAATGGTATTCACAACATTCTTGGTATACTATACATTGGTATACCATGATTACTGTTGAATGATTACATTCTCAATATTCTTGGTATACTACTCATTCGTATACTATGATTAGCATAGTGCACCAAAATTTAGGATTACCGAATTAACTAGAAAGAACAAAAAACGAGAAAAGGGTGACAAATTCTTTATTTTAAAAAAGCCTAAAATTTCTCAGAAATTGAAAAAAAAAGGTCATCTATAAAATATTAAATAAAAAAAACAAAAGAATCAAAAAGAGTAACCAAATAACTCTTGAAAATCATAATCGATTAGTGATTGTATAGAAAGTGTCCCAATATAAATATTAGGACTCACTTATTTATCAGGAAAGAACAAAAATAAAGTACCAATTATTTTGGACGAAGATAGTTTATTATAAAGAACCAAAAAAATACAGCAAAACAAATAAAAAAAATTAAGACAAGAAAAAAAAATTAAAAAAAAGTGAGGGATTGTTATTAGAAAGAACCAAAAAAAAAGAATAAAAAAGAATATAAAAGAAAAAAATTACAAAAAAAAAAGAAACTAAAAAGAGTGCAGAATTTATTAGAAAGAACAAAAAAATAAAAATAAAAAAAAATTAAAGAAAAGAAAGAAAAAAAGGGTAGCAACTTAGGTGGAGCTTGGACATAGGATGGAGGGGCATCTAGGTAATAAAATCTTCAAATGGGGCACATTTTGTCATTTTTCAAAAATGGGAGCATTTTGGTCATAAATTTTTTAAAAGGGGCTCTTAATGTCTTTTTCTCTATTTTATATTCAGTAGTATAGATAAGGGACAAAAATATACCTATACCCATACATATCAAGCTTATTCCTCACCTTTGAACTACCAGTAATATGCCTAAAACTTAAAAGTACCATATAAGTTTTGTGGCTTTCAAATAACGCTAAATCATATGTTTATCAACTTGAAGAAAAACTTATATGGGCAATAGTTACAAATAGACATCCAAAAGTGTACAGTGGTATTACTTAATATTGGGATGGCAAACAAAGCGGGGCGGGTTAAGACTCAACTCGAATAAAATTTAACATGCCGCCCTGCATAGCCTTTTTTTATGTTTTCCACGCGCCTCGCATAATTTTCTTTTTTCTTTCTCTTTCTCTAGTTTGTTATTTACATATTTCAATTAAAAACCTGTACTTACAATCCTTCTTTGGCCTCAGAAAATACCCTCGAATATCTAAAGGTTTTGCATCAATCTTGTAAAAATTCCAAAAACAACACTCACTCTATTATAATTTGACATTCATGATTCAGTTTACAAGTGTTGTGTTGCCAGACTTTTAATTTAGGTCCAAAATTGATTCTTCTACTTTTAATTAAAGAAACCAAAGGATATTCAAAAATCTGGATGTTTAAGCCAGAATAACACAATTCCAAAACCCATATTTCTCAGTTCTTTAATTAAATCATTAAATGTGATTTGAAATTAAACAAACATACAGTGGAAAAAAGTCGTGACAAAAATGCATCTGATTTCTAGTCTCTGGTGATCTATCTCCTCCTCAGTATATTTATGGAGCATGCTTAACAAGAAAACCAGATAATAGAAGGAAACATGGAAAATAAAAGTTGTAAAAACGATACATAGAAAAGCCTGAATTCTGAAGTCTAGTTAAAATGATAGGGCAGCCCGGTGCACTAAGCTCCCGCTATGCGCAGGGTACGGAAGGTCTATTGTACGCAGCCTTACCCTACATTTCAGCAAGAGGCTGTTTCCACGCCTTGAACTTGTGACCTCCTGGTCACATGACAGCAACTTTACCAATTACGCCAAGGCTCCCCTTCCTAGTTAAAATGATAAATTATAGCGAAAATGATAGGATATCTAGAGAAATGATAAAATATCAATAAAATCAGGTAAAGAAGTTGAAAAGAATTGCAAATCATACTAACGTCTAAAGTCCAACTTCACCACCTATTGGGTAAGAGAGTCAAAGACTCGAGATGAGGCCAAAGAATTAGAGATTTCAGTTACAAGCTAGAAAAGTAGAAACAAAAATTTGGGAAGTATACAGATCTCGGGTTGGTAGAAGTGAAAGCGTGGAAACTGAGAGGGAAAAAGTTGTTATATTCATCAATATTTGTATACCCAGTAGTTCTTCATTCACAAAGAACCTGCAACCTGCCCAGACCCACTTTAAAACTTGTTAGAAAACATTCTTAACCCGCACGCACCACCCCGCCCTGTTGCCATCTCTACTTGATCTGCACCATATGGAGAGTCAATGGACTACGTCTACTTTAACAATGATTGGCATTTGGCAGATGCATTCAACAACTTGTACCAGGTTAAGATACAGAACCAAGTTGGCAAAATATGATGTTAACATCCTAGACCCATTACAAACTCTTCCCATTATTTGATAGCATAAAGCTGCAAAAGTTTACTGAGTCGACGTATAAATGTCAAGATGGGATTGTTTCAACAGAACATTATAGTAGTATGTTCGGAGTAAATGGCTGATATAATTATAAACATATTAAACTACTAATAAAAGGTTCTGATTACTTACTCTGCTCGAAGTTGATCTCGCTCAAGTTTCTCAAGTGACTGCATTTGCTCCTCAATAGAGGCTCTTTGATGATCTAAATCATCGATCTCATCGGTTATAACTGTGTTAAAGCAAAAGGTGCTAATCAGTAATCATAACACCAAACTATCTGAGAAATATGAAGACATGCTTTTTCGATATACTTATCTAAGTTCTTCCCTTAGCAGCTGTTCTATTTGAAGCTTCTGTTCTCTCTCTTTCTGCAGTGTATCTATTTCAGCATCTCCAGCAGCTTCAGATTGTGCTTCTGCTATTCTCTGATTGCACATATTTATCTTTGCCTCATAATCTGAGCATATGTAATGAATTAAATTAATTATATAATAGTTTCAAATCAAGAAATCCAGAATAAATCCAGTTATTTCTGGTCAAAATCATAAGTTAATGCTTGGCTAAGCCACTAAATACCATAGCAACGATCCAAAGAACTTCAGCTTAACCTAAGTATATATAGATATAAACATGCTGGACCTCTGCTCATAAGATATTGGCTTAGAAGGACTTCAGCTTAGGAAGAAATCATACCAAATGTAGAAGAGTATCACAAAACTATCAGGAACAAATAGATAATGACACCAAAAGGGTTGGCATGAAGAGCAACAAGACTTCACTTAATGACCAGAAGAGTGAGTTACCAAACAAGTACTCGTATAAAATACTAAGACAGACTCCACAATCCCCAAAATGTCATTAAGAGAAGCATCCAGAAATTACGATACTTTGAGAGAATCAATTTTTGACCTGATAATCCAGTACAAGAAAAAACAGACAATGGTCTCTCAATTCCATGTAAAAAAGAATTATCTACAAGTAACAGGTACAAAATCTTTTTTGTTTTTTTTCTTCTTTTTCACACAGTTTATAGGAAAACCCAATTGGACAATATTTGAGCAAAACTAAAGATTTTTACTATTTGCGAAGCATACCTTGAATGGAACTCCGAAGGGTTTGATATTCAGAAAGGCACTGTAATTGAACGGCATTAGATTGCTCCAAACACTGTTTCAAGAAGCCGACATCTTTGTCGTCCTTCAAGAACTGAACGAGATCTTTGCTGAAGGAGATCAGCTTCTCCACATCCACGTCTCTCGACCCATCCACCATTGTTGAGACCAAAGTTTAGGGCTTCTTCTTTCTTTTCTCTTTTTTCCTAAGACCTTGGTTTTTGACCCACGTGGAGTATTCAATATTCAATATTTTTGTGGAATACAATATTTGAAACTTATTAGAGTTTGCTATTTAGCCGGAGTTTTTTCTACAAATTATATACAGTACCCGTTAAAAGGCTCCAAATCCATTACATTACCCTTTCTATAATGGTCTCGTTTGTTCCCATATATTTTGGCTTTTATAGTGAATGATTGTTATACACCTAAAGCAGTATTTGATGTTTAAATATTTTTTGGCTGTTATAAATAAAAATTATCCAAATATCAATTATTTTTCCTTCTCTAATATTACATATAAAAATAAAAAATTATTTAAATTTTAAAATCTCAAAAGATATGCGTATTTCACTAGTTAAATATTGAAGAAAGTTAATATATTATTAATAAATTCATAAATTCATAACTAAATAATAATTATTTAAACTATAAGGCACACATTTAAAGCTAATTAGAAAAATAAATTATTTCAAGATTAATGAAAGAACTTTTTAATTGTAGCTTGTTTCGTAGATTTCATTCTCTTGTTAGCGAAATAATGCTTGAATTGGCGAAGATTCGTATCCAAATTTTCAGCAAAAAGGTATCCAATAGCTTTCACCAATCTAAGAGCTTAACAATTAAATCTTCTATCTAAATATTTTTTGGCATTTGTCCAATGATAAAGATATCATGTGCAAATCTTCAAATCTTATGTCTTATGCAAAATAAAAACTTTGTGCAACAAAAAAGATTATGTGCATAATTTTAGAATTATTATTAGTAACCATAAAGATTCTATTTGGCTGTTATAGAGAGGTAATTTTATAAAGAGTATTCTACTATAAATATGGATGTCGCTATTACAGGTAAAAAGTTGTTATAGAGAGGTAAAATATAACTTAGAAAATAGATTCCGAGGAAAACTTGGCTCTTATAGTGAATGGTTGTTATATAAGGATATTGTTATAGAGAGGTTACGCCATCCATGTTTAGAAAATAGATTCCGATGAAAACTGTATTAGTGTCTTCAACCAAGGCAATTAGTTACGCCTTTTTCTTTTTTCTTTCATCTCTTCTCTCAATCTTTTTTTGCCACCTCCTTCACTCTTCTTTTGATATCATCTCTCCCTTTTCTTCTTCCGTCAACTCTCCTCTCCTATTTTCCTTTTATTCTGTCAATAACTTTATTTCTTCACATTTATGGCGGCAATAGTGAGACAGAAAAATTGATAGTGTTGAATTGGCATCGATCATCATAAACAACAAATTTGATAACAACTAACGAATTTCATATAAATTTGGTACAATTGATTTCTGGTTATAAAACTGTTAAATTCTACCAAATTTAAACGAATTTTAACAATTGACAACTTTCATAAAATATGAAATTTCATAAGATCTCAGAATGTTAATCATCAACCAATTGTATCAACTCCATATGAATTTCATAAACTTTTGCATTTCAATCATCAAGCTGTCAAATTGGTTCAGTAGTTATACAACTTATTTACAAATTTTATATGAATTTGATAAAAATTTAGTATATATATATAACAACTGACTATTTAAAATATAAATTTCATACAATTAATCATATAATATACAACTTATTTATAATTTTCATACAATATTACTACAAAAAATTACAATTACAATAATATACAACCTAAATATAATATCCGTACAACTATAATACAATTTTAATATAATCTTGATACATATATATAACTTTTATACGAAAATAATATAATTACAATAGAATACAACCGAAATATAATTTACATACAACTATAATACAACTTTAATAGTATATATCAACAACTTTATACAAAGGAGAGTCTTTCTATTAAATACAAATTTCACACGACGATTCATATAATATACAACTTGTTTTCAACTTTCATATAACATTCAAACAAAAAAATACAAATACAACATAATACAACTTAAATATAATTTTAATATAACTTTAATACAAAATTTGTATGTATATTGTATATCATGTGTTCGTCATCTTCTTTGAGTTTCAATCTAAAAATTTAGCCAAAATCAACTCTAGTCTTTACCAAACACCCTCAAAATTGAGATATAAACTCCAAAGAATATCCCTAATCGTTTGCAACAAAATCCCATTCAAATAAATATTTTTGAAAACCGAACTTAAATTCAAAATTTTGAAGCTTTTTACTGGCTGTCAATGGTGGAGGATCAAACACCTTAAAAATTTAATGATTAACAATTTCAATTCAAACACCAACTATGCAACATGAAAGGAATTTGCTCAATTAAAACTCCATAGTCAAACGATTGAAATACATTGATGAATTCTTTGAAGAAAAAAGGATGAAGTAGATGAGAAAAGAGAGAGAGAGAAGCAGAGAAAATCGAAAGAAGAAAAATAGGGTTGGGGAGAGAGGGAGAGGGAGGGAGGGAGAGAGAGAGAGAGAGAGAGAGAGAGAGCCGAAGAGGGAATAGCCGATATTCCCTATTCAAGTCCTAATATAAAGGAATACTCATTTAATATTAATTTGTATATAATTAGTAAATTGTATATCAACTTGTAATTAAGTTAAAACTTCAATAGCGAGGGTAAATAAGTTTAAAAGGTACTATAGGTAAGTAAAAATTTCAATTTTATTGGTAAATTTACAATGTCGGTCCTTTTTAAGGAATTACTTACATCAGTAACACATCTTTTGGAATATTTCAAAAGTAATAATAATAGTTTAAATGAAATCTAGTCACCCTTTCAATTTTAAATTGTAAATTTTAAGGTTTGACAAAATTTGTCATATCTCTAAAAATTTCTATTTAAAAACAAATCTTTCCCTCTAAACGTTATGGCTATAAACACATGAGTATATGGGAACTTAGACATTTGAGATGAAATTCAAAGCAAGGGCATAATAGTGGCAAGTATAACATGAATCAAGATCATAAGCCTTTGAAACATCAATCATACTTGAAACACTTTCTCATAGGAGAGTAATATAATAGTGGTAGTTGGAACATGACTTGAGTACACAAGCATTTGGACAAATCAACCATTAGAAGAAATTAGAACAATAGAAATAGGAATTTGAACAAACCATGCTCAGAGTTTATAAGAAATTCGTGGAATCCGATTTTACGGAAGAAGTTTAGCCAACATACCTCAAATTCTCCTCTTAATAAAACTACGATGATCCACCACACTAAACAACTTTAATCTACAACAATGCAACACAGTTGTAATAATATTATCTTTTAGATTTTTTTATCAAACACCTAATGTGTATATTTATCTACAACCCCCTTCAATGGAATTTCTTCACCTAACAACCACCTTCCACACCAATGATACACCTTACAATCATCCTTAGGCCATCCACAACCTCTATTAGCACATGCATACCCAACAATTCACTCTCAACCAATCAATCTCATCAATTAAATCATTTTACAATCTCTACAACACTAACATAACTTAGGTTAGGTACTTATGGCTTTCAATCACCATCCCATAAGTCCTAATACACGTTTCATACATAAATAATCACCATAAATTAGTCAGAGATTGTAGACATACCTCTTGTAGAGAAATTCCTAAAAATCCCAACTCCTAGTGATCTCGACCAATTTGGGAATTTAAATGGAAATTTATGAATTACCAAGGTTAATCCTTGTTAATATAAACGTTTAGGAGTAGTAACTGGCTCAAAGTACTCCAAAAACATTACCTTGGTTCATAGAGGGATGTATAAGACGGATTCCCTTTGTTAGAACAAGCCCTAGTTCAAAGAAATGAGTTTGCCACTCTCTCCCCCCAACCTTACGGGTATTTATAAGGTTCCCATGTGCGCTGCCGCTCACCTGGGCAAGTGAGCATGAAGGTGGAATCGTATACAAGGCAGAAAACCCTTCTTCAGTGCGTTGTCGCACATCTGACAATCTCAGCGCGCAGCTGGGCGTACAGCTAAGATAGTGTTTGGTAAAATTGCCATAACTTTCTGTAAAAATATCCAAATGATAAATGGCTTGAGGAATTGGAAATTAGACTCAAAGATATTTCATTTGATAGGTATATCACCACATAAAACCTTATATTTTGGGAGTTGTACCCCTTTAAATTCGGGTCTTGAGCAAAATTATTTGAAACTTTAGCCTATTGCATAGTTCCCAACTTGGCTTAGTTCTAGGGCTATCCTTAGACCCTAAACCACTTCCAATACACCTCCTACATTTATTATCATGATCATCTAAGTTGGTTCTAGTCCATAATCTCTTGTGTAAGGCAATACGGCACTTAAGCGACTCATGAGCGTGCTTTAAGGCCTCACACATAGAAAATCTTGAGGGGGTATATATATAAGCCCCCTCAAGATTTTCTATATGTGTTATATATATATATATATGCGTGTGTGTATCGGATTGCACACCGCTTCAGTATTATTATATATACGTGGACCGGTTGCATGCCGTAATAATATTATCATATATATGTAGATCAGGTTGCACACCGCAACAATATTACTATATATATGTGAATTAGGTTGCACGCTGCAACAATATTATTATTAAATATGTGGATCGGGTTGCACGCGATAATGGTATTGGTATTGATATGTGGATCAGATTGTGTGCCGCAACAGAGAGGATGTATTGTGGTTAGTGTTGGTTATTAGTTTTAGCTATCGTGTTGTGTTGTAAGACTGGGAAGAGATGATATTCTAGGGCCCTCTGCTATTTATTTCTTATTCCAGTTATCATGTTGTTATTCGTTTCTCTATTTTGTTATTGCCTTTCTACTTATTACTTATATTGGTTTATATTGTGTGTCTTGTCATAGCCTCATTACTACTTTATCGAGGTTAGGCTTGATAGTTATACGCACTATATATATACATACACACACACACATATACATACATACACACAATGTTGTGTCATGCAATCTAATCCACATATATAATAATATTTGTTACAACGTATGTTGCGGCGTGCAACCCGATCCACATATATAATAATATTATTGCGGCGTGCTACCCGATCCA